AGAAAAATATGCGTCCACTGGTTACAGACCATAATTTCGGGAAACTAAACAATGGTAACAGTACGAACACGTGTACATGTGTTTGGTGAAACCTCTCGACATTTAAAATTACTGCGTAATGATGATCGTTAATCATACCACATGTATGAAAATTGAAACATTACGATTTTTTACTATCGTTCTTTAATAAAGAAGAAAGTAAAATTATCAAACTTGAAATATAAAAGGGGCAGTCCAGAAAAATTTTGGATCTAAAGGAAGCCAACGAAAATTTCAATTTAAATTCCCGTGGAGTCTGGATAAATATTTAATTTCCAGTAAAATATAAATGGATAGATCACTCACCAACGACCTTCGTCACATGATAAACAATCCATCCTACAGCGATCTGGAAATTTATTGTGGCGACTACATGAATGAAGGTGACGATGATGAAAATAATGATGATGGTGGAGAAATTCTATACGCATCAAGATTTTTCCTTGCAGCGCGCTCAGAATATTTTAATAGAATGCTATTAAATGGAATGTGCGAGACAACCAAAAACATTATAAAATTTCCAGAAATCACAACACCCGCCATGAAAATCATCTTGGAATTTCTATACACCGGAGACGTGAGCACTCATCACTTTGCCATCAGAACCGCAATCGACACATTCCACGCAGCGAATTATTTCATATTACCAGACCTAGAAAAAATGATTTCTGAATTCATAATTGACATTTTAAAAAAAGAAAAGGAAAAAGACAAAATTGATTGCATCGTGGAATTTTTCTCATCAATGATTTCGCGATCTTGTTCTGTAGTGATTTGTTGTGAAATTAAAGTCTACAGGGAAATTTGGAACGCGATTGTCAATACGCAAATATGGTTGATTCCGTTCGAGCGGATGACATTTGAGATGTTGAGAATTTTATTGAGTGAAACTTTTGATTTTGAGGATTATTTTTTGACTACAGAGTATGATTTATTTCGATATGTTCTTTTGTGGGCGGCACGTCGGATTTCCCAACAAGCGTTTTTGGTATTTTCCGATTATTTGCCGTTAGTTGAAACTATTGACTATTTTCGTGATCAGATTCTAAAAGGATTCAAGAATGATGTTTCATCAGATCCCATTATTGCAAAATACAGAGATCAAATTCATGAGGATATTTCTCAATTACTTGCATTCATCGATTTACGGCGCATTCCACCAAAAATCATAGCAACCGTGATTCGTCCTCTAAAACTAATATCTGATGAAATATGTCTAAACGCCTGCGATTATCACGCAAAAGCTTACTGTACCCCAAAACAACAACGTGGTTTATACCACTACAAGTCATTACAATGGGATAAGCTTGCATGTGGTTCGAAACTGAAAATTTATGAAAATTCAACGAGAGTTTCCGCGCTTGCTGATCTCACCTTTCATCAATCAGTGAGAACAAAACAAGCTTTCTGGGGAGAAGGGGTTTACGAGTGGGATGTGATTATTGAGGAAACGTGCTTTTATGCTTGGGTCGGAATATGTGCTACTGAGTGTGTCAATTATGAAAAGCCACTTGGGCTTCAGCAGTACGGGTGGGTTATTAGTTCAGGAGGTTTTTATCAGAATTATGGAAGAAAATGGGGTGACAGGTTGCCATTTTTTGGTAAGAATTCTAAAGTTACTGTGCATTTAGACATGACCAATAGGACTTGCGCATTCTCTATCAATAATGTGAGGATGCCTGTGGCTTTCAATAATTTACCGGAAAAAGTTTATCCAGCGGTTTCGCTTGTTTGCCCCGGTCGATTTCATATTTTACCACATAAACCTTGTTAAAATATAGAGTAAATGCATGATTTTATTTAAATCATTTAAATCAAACGGATGACTAATTCTTATATCATTGATAACATTGATAACATAACGTAATACGTCAAATAAATTAAACTCATATATATATATATACTGTGCCAAACTTCAAGTGTTACTGTCACGTACTTTTAGTTTTTGTTTATTTTTGTTTTCTCCTCTCTTGACGCGAAAACTTCCTTATATTTTATCTGTCATACTTCTTAAACTCATATTTTATTATTCAAGGCTAGTCTTCGTGCTCATTTTTTCTGTCAAAATATTCTTTAGTCTTACGATAAACGCGTCTTTGTTTATTATATTTTCTCTCATAGTCAGACAATCTTATTGTTAAAGGTCGTGAGGCGCAAAGAGGACAGCAAAATGGGCAAAAATAACAAGAATAGAAAATCTCAAACACCGCAACCACAACAACCTTCTGGACAACATCAGCAAACTCCAACCGGAAAGTCTACTTATCGTAAATATCATCGTCGTCATACTTTATTAAACCACCACTCGCCTTATATTCAAAGACAGCTATCCGGTCAAACTTTTCCAGGTACACCATCTTTTATTCCATCAGACCAACAAATTATGAGACGGACACCACAAGATTCAGCTTTTGTAGATAAACCATCTTTTACTCCGACAAACCAACAAATTATGAGACGGACACAACAATCAAGCCCTCATTTCTCTTCACCTTTCTTCCTTTACAATTACGAGTCTAAATCTAAAAATTTACAAATAACTAACACGATTCCTTTTGAACAACAAACATCAATTCTCTCTGAAACCAAAACAGATAAAGCGATCCTTGTCGAAAAAAAGACAATTAATCCAATCATTATTGGTGCAAATCCTAAAGAAAATAATAACCGTAAAGAAGAGAAAGTTCTAGCTCTATCTTCACATATACGATGGGGAATGGCTAATGAAAAAGTTCAACGAATCGAAGGAAAGTTAACCGAATTGGAAACTTCTAATAGTGTCGATCGATTGAATACTGAAGTAACAGCTTTCACTTCGGGACAACTTGGACTATTATCATATGATGATTCTGCAGTTGAGAATGACGAGATACAAGAGTCTGATACTTCAACTGAAGATGGTGAAATCAAAGAATACAAAAAAAGCTTCGAGCATAATTATAGAAAGGAGAGAAAGGTTGCATTTGCAAGCATCCACGACAATGATGGAAAAACAAAGGAAGATGAAATAAAGATTGAGAGTGGAATATCATCAATCGAAAAACAAGAAACTAATGTAACACAATCTCAGATTGAAAGTCAATTTAAAAATTTAAAATTAAGCGAAAATGATTCATCAACTGAGGAAAAGAATAAAAAACTTTTCGAAGAGGATAAAACTCCAACTAAAAGTCAAGATGAGTTGATTCAAGTTGAAGAAAGCATCGAGTTAATAAGCGATAGCTCAGTTTCAACCATCAAAAGTGACGATAGAGGTAAAAATTCTCAGGATTGCTCCTTTTCAGTCTCCGATCAAAAGGTTGTACTAGAGGCTATCTTACAAGAGTCTGAAAAAGATTGCGAAAAAACACTAGAAAATAAAGTATTTTCTCTTAAATTATAGTTGCAAAGAATGAGTTTAATTTTTTCGTACTAATAATATAATTTTTTATTGATTTAACTAGATACCACCATCTACTCCAATGCACGATACCCTATCATTTTTTAGCAAATCTCCAACTGAATATTACGATGAAGTCAGTTTTCAAACTCCAAAAATAAAGACAAGTCAAAGCCAGTTTTTGAACATTGGGGCTGAAGAAGAATCACGAAGAATTTCGTCTGGATTACAGATTCCTTCGGTTTCTGCAACAAACTCTGCTAAATCCTTCGATATGGATGATCAAAGACGGAATCTTGCTCCTAGTAACGAAATGGATGGTCCAGTTCATACGCCTCAAAGTCCTTCAACATCAAGTTTAACTCAGAATCCTAGCTTTGTTCATACATCTAATGAGACTCAAAATTCTATCGCAGTTCAAACTCCCAATTTGATTCAGAATCCTGGTTTAATTCAAATTCCTTCAACACCGAGTTTAATCCAGGATCCTAGTTCGATTCATACGCCTAATTTAATTCAAAATCCTAGCTCGACTCATACGCCTGATTTAATTCAAAATTCTCCAACATCGAATTTAACTCAAAGTCTCAGTTCTGTACAAACACCCAGTGCAGTTCAAAATCCAGAGACACCAATGAAAATTCCGACTGTAGTAATTCAAAATCACGAGATCCTTACAACAACACCTAGCTTAATCCGAAATGCTAGGACTCTAATGAAAATTCAAAATCCTGAAACTCCAATGAATACACCCATTACGCCCCGCTATAACTTGAGAACAAGGACATCAAATTCCGCAAATGTTTCTATGAAAATGAGAACTCCCTCATTGCATACCATTGAAGAGAAGATCCCAAACACACCTTTCAAGAGTACTCAGATCACAGAATCATTCGTCTCAACGACTATCGATGACTTTGCATCTACTTCAAGCAATAATAACAACATACAAACGCCAATAAGTAAAAATGAATTTAGTACATCTTCAACAGTAAGATACCCTACTACACCTTCTCGTACTCCGAAACCTTGGCCACTAGAGATCGAGGTTCTTCGAGAAAGATTAGGTTTTGAATTTCGACGACGTAACATAACGCAAAAAGAACTCGTCAATGAAATTTTTGCCATAGTTAAAACGTTGCCGGGCTCAGATGGTATCACCTTCTCACAGTCATCGTGCTCTAATTTCTTGAGAGGTATTTCTAAGCCGAGGTCAACCATTGTGTTTGATGCTATGAGAAAATGGATTGATTCTCAGATGGGGAATTAAATTTTTTTAAATCATTGGAGAGGGTTAATCTTTATCTTATCGTTATTGTTATGTATATGTTTATGAAAAATCTTTGATAATGTACCATCGATACACTTAATGTTAACATCGATATTTAATGTTAACAAATATTGGCTTTAAAAATTAAATGATTTTCGAATTTCTTTAATTCAGAAATCTGGATGTTTTTTTATGCTTTTCCTTTAAATCTCATAATACAATTACAGATCCGAGAACACAAATATCATTGTAAAGCATTTATAACTGTCAAATTCCTATACTTATAAGAATTGAAAAAGTGTGATTGTATAGAGATATATAGTGACAGTAAATTGTTCTTTTAACAAGAACTCAAAAATTATTGCACGGATTTATAGGAACTTAAATGCAAAATACAGTCTTCTTCCCATATAATCACGCTCTTGGAACAGCAAAAAGTGTGAATTTAAAGAGATTTTGACTGTATAGAATTCAAATTTCCTATGTTTGCATGGTCTTATATTTGCTGAAAATAAGAAAGACAGTAAGAATTATCTTCTTTACTCTATCTTATTTTTTCAGTTAGAAAATGAGAATAACATTCTTTCATCTTTCATATAATATCTGAAACTGGAAAAGGTGGAATCGTAGAGGAGGTGTGACTATTTAGGAGAGGATTGTATGGAAGAAAGACTGTATTTAAATTACTAATAATTTTTTCAAAATAATTTGATCAAGTTATCCTGTTTATTATATAATAATAATTAATGTAATGCTTGAATTTTTTACTAATTATAATTAGTAAAATATGTGATTTTTTGTTATTTTAATTTTACTAACAAAAATTTTTTATTTTAGCTCAAAAATAGCTAAAATTTCAGATTTTTTTACCAGTAACTTGTTTATATTGTATATAGAAATAATTAATTTTTACTAATTATTAAGTTAATTAAAATTAATTATTTTTATATATAATATAAATAAATTACTGGCAAAAAAATCTGAAAAATCTGAAAAAATATATGTTAAATTAGAGAATTTTAGCTATTTTTTGAGCTAAAATTAAAAAATTTTTGTTAGTTAAATTAAATCTTTTATATATAATAAAAACAAATATTAATTAATTATAATTAGTAAAAAATTCAAGTACTATATTTTATTAATTAAAATTATCATTATATATTAAATATATATCTAAATTTATTATTATTTAATTAATATAAAATTAATATAATTTATAAAAATTAAAAAATAATTATATTAGAATTATAACTTATAATTGAATTTATTATCAATATTATTTATTTTTTTATAATTTTTTATTTAAATTTAAATTTCTTATTTTTTAATTTTAATTTTAATTTTTAATAACTTATTTTTTTATAAGTTTAATAAAATTAATATTATTATAGATTTAAAATTTTAGTTATTTAATTTTTTTAAAAATAATTATTATAAAAAATTTAATTATCTTTTTTAATTATAAAATTTTATATTTTATCTTTTATTTTATTTTATTAATTTAATTTTATTATTTTGAATTAATAAAATTCAAAATCTTTTTATACTTTTTCTATTTTATTATAAATATTTATTTAATTAATAATTAATATAATTTATATTATTAAAAATCTTATTAGAATTATTTTAAAAAATATATTTATGAATTTAATAAATATTAAACATTTTATTATTAAAAATATTTATTTTTATTAATAACTTATTTATAATATATTTGTAATTATAAAAGTATAATTTATTATTAAAAAAATTAAATAAATAACCAATAACTATAAGATTATTTATTTATAATAATAAATAAGATAAAATATAAAGTAATTAATAAATATTTATAATTTTATTATTTAAATAGTATTTAAATTTAAAAATTAATTATAGAATAAAATAATATATTTATATAAAATAAATAAATATGAAATATAAATAAATTAATAATCTAAAATATATACAGTGGCAATCAAAAATAATGCAACGCTTAAATTTTTTACTAATTATAATTAGTAAAATACGTATTTTTC